TGTTTAAAATATATATGTGTGTGTTGAAATATAGAAATAAGTCATCTGTAGTGGCAGGAACGTAAGAAGCTGCCTTATTTTGAATCAGGTCATTGATCTATATAGCTCCAGACTGTCTATAAATCTATAAATCTAATAAATAAATAAAATATAGTGAAAGTTAGGTAGGCAGAGCCGTTCCTACCAGATCTTGTGTGGACTACAGTTCCCAGTATCCTTTATTTTTGGTAATGTAAGCTCGGGCTGATGGGAGTTGTAGTCCAGCAACCTCTGCAAGGGCACACTTTGCTCTATTAACTGGCTCTTCACTTTATCAAGATGAATTCCTATCCTGTCATAGCTGGAAATGTTGGAGCAAACCCTGACAACTTTTGCACACGAATTAGGTGTTCTGCTGTTGCCGATCCAGGAAATTCAAAGATGATCAATACCAATGTTTGTTTTTTAAAAAAAAAATCAAATTGATTTAAATCACAATTAAAGAAAAAAAAAGATGATTTTATTTAAATCATCTAAAAATGAGTTTTAACATTTAAATCATAATTGAAAGCAATTGGATTTAAATCAAATCCGCTCCAGAGGCAAAATATGGTGGTTGCCTTTTCCAAAGGGAGGTGGCAGACAGTCTTCGAATGATGTGGTTTGTGTGACTGACAGGGACTTTTCTGAGCTGGAGCGATAATCTATCCAGCACTAATTAAATGTTCCTCCAGCCCTTGAATTCAAAGAGAGGCTTGTCTTTATGCTGAGTTTTCCTTCCATCTCTTTCCTGGGTTGGGGCAGTGGTGTATTCGCTATTGATCTTCTTGGTTGCTAAGTACCTGTGCAGTAAAGAAAGCAGCATACACAAATCTGTAACTTCAAGTAGCTGTAAGTAAAGGTTTCTTTTATTATTATTTCTGTCTCAGAGTGAGTGACTGAGACTTTAAGTTGATGAGAAAGGGGTGGAGTCTAGGGAACTTGGAGCTATTCTCCCCTGTGGATCTCCGTGCTTCTGCTACATTGCAAAAGGAATTTTCGCAGACATTCAAAACTCTGCAACAATTCCCACTCTTGTGATAGAAGCAAAACAAAGGCGGCCCCTTTGGGGACCTTTAGATTCAAATTACCACGACAGAACGCTATGGAGAAGGCGCTCATGCGCTATTCTTACCAACCTGTCCCTAGGGCCTGCATTCTATTCTGCCAAATAGATGCCAGACCTGGAGTGATCTTTGGGCGACGAAGGTAAAATGTGTGCTTGGAGAGCTTCGGTTCAAAGAAATGTTAATAATGCAAAGTCAAGCTCTCTTTTTTGCCTCCGGGAAAGCTGCTCAACACAAAGGCGGCTCAGCTTGTGAAGGCGCACCTTGAGGTTTCATTGCACGACAAACAATTATCTAAAAGGTAATTGCTCAATTAAAATGCATGGCTGCCACACAAGCAAAAATACGATGGATTCATCAGCACTGAGTCACAGCTGGGGAGGCGTGTGAAAGGACTTGTTGAATGAACATTCCCTTCTCTCTTAATTTGCTCATTCATAAGGAGCACGCCCCATCACAAATATTTGGGGTGTGTGTGTGTGGAAGAACCAGGACTGGTCCCATCATTAGAAAGAGTGAGCCAAGTGCCTCAGGCAGCAGATTTGGGGAAAGAAGTGGTGGAAAATCCCTGCTGCTGAGATGACTTTGCTGGTAGCAGTCATTTTTGGTAATGAAAGACTTCCTCCCCCTGTCCCCTGGCTCCCATGGCCTCCCGATAATTAAAGAAATTACATGAGAGCTCTGGGAGCCTCTGGACAGAAGTAGGAAATGTTTAACGTCTGAAAAAACCCTCTCCTGATGACATCATTACACATGGGTATAAGTTATAGAACAGGATTTTAGCCAGAATTTGTCCATGGACAAGGGCAGTCAGGAATGGGAGAATTCAACTGTAGGACACTAATCGGCACCTTTGTTAAAGGTTCCTATGATGGGAGAAAAGCAATGGAGCAAAATGATCTTTTATATTTTACTGAGCAGTAGCTACTAGCATTGTTAAAATACAGGGCATCCTTGCTACAGGTGATAAGAGTTGTGACCCCATAAACTATGGAAGGCTATCCAGTGCTTTTCTTACCTTGCAACAAGAAAGATTATGGGTTAGTGGCACCTTCTAGAAAATACATCAGGAACACAATGGAAAATCTGAGAATCCGAAACAGACTCTCCCAGCCCTTGATGGGAATTGTAGTCCATGCATATAAAGGGATTGCTGGAAGGGGAAAGTCATCTTATACAAAGTTCAGAGGAAGAGTGCCATGGAGTCCTTTGTGTTAGGTTAAGATATTTAGGTGCATGGGGTACAAAATCCAGATAGTTCCCTCTTTTACCCTACTAAATTACTGGATTTGTTAGAGCAGAAAAAGGACCCTGAAGAATTGGGTCCGAATCCACAAAACTGTCTAATTCACCATTTTGTTGCTGGATGCTGCCAGATGTTGTCAGTAAAACCCAGAAGCAGGGACTGAAGGTTGATATCCTGACCTTGTTATTTCCCCCACCCAGCAACTGGTGATCAATGGTAAACTGCTCCTGAATATGGAAGTTCTATTTGGACAAGGCGAGGAGTGGAGCCAAAAGCTTAGGGGCTGAGTGCTAAGGGCTACATGGTGAAACTGTGGCAGCTGCACCCACTTAGGCTACATTACTACAGGACCAGTGCTCAGGAAAGCTGTCAGGGAATGCTGGGTGTTGTAGTCCAAAAGAAATATCAAAGCGCTAAACAGCTGTAGGTTGAATTCCCTCCTCCATCATTCTGTGGCCCTTAACAAAACCCATTTCTGCCCCTTGAGCTGGCTATTATCTCTTAAGAGGGTCTGCCGCCCATCTTTTCTAATTGATGCCACTTCATTTATATTCATTCATTCACTTGTTAATTTCTATGCCGCCTCCCCACCCCCAGAGAGGGACCCTTATTGCCTCCCTTTTCCTTGCATCACTAAAAGCTGTCCATAATGTTCCTCGCGGTTAATATGTACTTTTCAGTAGGAAACGCTCCCCATCCCAGTTAGGAAGCCGATCTAAAACCAAACATGTGATACCGGCAATTTTTAAGCACTGTCATTTGCATAATATCTCATGTGCATTTAATCGCCTGGAAATGTGTAACATAAGCGGCCATTTTGGGGAGGGGGGGAAATGCTCTCAACATGAATTTTAGATTACAGTCCCCATTTAATACACAGTACAGCTGTTCGGCCTTAAATCATTATCTGATACATTAGATTTTCTTTTAAATGGCATCACCCCCTAAATTGTCTCCCCTAAATTGTCTCCCCAGGCATTATACATTCGGGCTAATGCTAGCACAAGCGAAATGCCATGTCTGTCAAATGGATTTGCAACTATTTATTTGCTTAACAGCTGCAATTTGCCTTCACAATGTACAGTATTACAGATTTTTTTTGCATAATTTGAACACTCTTGTTACCTCCGGATGTTAAGCTACAGCTGTTACAGGCTATAAATACAGCGGCCACAATCCTCCCCAAAGTGAAGCACTTTTTCAGGACCCTTGGATTTCAATAAAAGAGTTAAGTGCGTTGGTCCTTAAATCTCTCCCGGAAAAAGAGAGCTTAAGAAGTGCTCAGATTAGCTGAATCTGCCTTTTCAAATACAGTATGGTAATAGACATGCAGTTCAGACCAGCATGGAGATTAGTTGAACCCAGAAATAGCACATTGAAATGAATCTCAGAACAAGTTATCTAGTCAAACCAGAGCTTGGAAGGCTTACGTCTTTGGACTACTGTTCCCAAAATCCCCCAACCAGCATGGCTAACAGTGCGCACACTCTGCGGGCAATTTACAACACATTAAAACACATAGAAAATGAACACATACCTAACAATTAAAACCAGTAGTTGACTATGTGGCTTCTGACGCCAGAGTCTCATCTTCCAGCACTATCTCTGATTTTGTTCTGGACTGTCTCATCGTAGGATAACAAATATCCAGAAGTGGGTTGCCACTGTTGTCTTCTGCGACTTACTGTGTAATCTTGAGTGCCACTGCTGCTGTCTATGAAAGATCCTCCACCAGTCTCCCTGTCTACCTCCCTGTGCCACTGCACAGTTTCTTTGTCCAGTCACCATCAATTATCTTCTGATGATGAGATCATTAATCCTGAAAAGAGGGGATACCTCTTAGTCTGGTGTCTCCTGGGTGACTCTTCTAGGAGTTCAGTATTTCCATGGAGTCTAGCCTTCTGATGACATTGCACTTGGCTTCCAGAACAGAACCAGCACCACCACCACCACCACCACCACCATCATCATCATCATCTTGTAATACAGAGCTGGTAAGGATCCTCAATGCCCTTCCAAGTTAAGTCTTCAGAGTAGATTTCAGTCTAGATGGGCAGGATATAAATTGAATGAATGAATGAATGAATCAATGAATGAATGCATCTGAAAGGCAGCTTTATAAATATACCTACATCTGAGCTCATTTTAAAAATTATATAAAATAATTTAAAAAGTTAAAAAAATGGTCTCATCCACTCATAGAAGCAAAGTTTGCAAATAGCAGTTGCCTTAGATAATTAAAAGTTTACAAATAATAAAGACAAAAATGTCCAGTTCTAAAGAACTATGAATCAGACAAAAAATTTTTTAAAAAATTTGGTTTGAAACCTAAAAGTGATCGTTTTAAAGGTAGCACAAGACTCTGCTCATTCTGTATTAGGTGTTTTAGTACTTCCTGAGCCCCAAGATGTATACGATCTTTGCCTCGCCTTATTGGTAATCTCTTAGTCTGTGAGCCCATAAAGGGTTAATCCGGCCTTTTGCTTCCCTGCGCTACCTAGTCGCGCCTCCAGGCGGTGCACTACCGGGAAGGCCAGAGTCCGCCAATAGGAATCATCCTGACATCGGGAAGCACCAACTGCAAGGCCGCGTTTTCACCACTGAGATGCCACGCCTAGAGCTTCCTCCGCAGAGACTGGCCTCTGTCAACCTCTCCCCGGAAGTTCCGGTTCCTTGGGGGGGAAACCGCGCGGCCCTCGTTGCTATAGCGACCGGTCCCGGGAACTGGGAAGATGGCGGCCGAGGGCGAGGCAGCGAGGCAAGAAGCGGCGCTGGCGGTGGAGGCGGTGGAGGCGACGGGGCCTTCCTTGCAGCGCTGCTTGGCCCGGTTCAGGGCGCTGAGGCTCGGGCCGGACGCCAGCCAAGCCCCGGGAGGCGAGTGCGGGCGTCGCACCGAGCTTCACTTGCTTTTCGACCAGCTCATTTCCGAGACCAGCGGCCCGGCGGGGCTGGCGCTGGGAGAACCCCGGCCGGAGGTGAGGGCCTGGGGGCCAAAGAGAGGGCGGTGAGGGCCTGTGTGGGGGGTGGGGGCGTCTGCTTGGTGAGTCCTGTGAGGGTGGGAAGCGAAGCCAAAGCGACACGGGGATGGGTTCCTTCCTTGGGCGTCCCAGGCCGACTCCCATCATCCCCAACCTTTGGGGATGATGGGAGTCACGCTTTGCTTTTGCTTTGTGGGAATGGTGGGGGTGGTAGGTCGAGGAAGGCTGGGGGTAAGGTTTTGGGTAAGGAGGAGCACGGAGAAGGTCTGGGTTCAAATCTCCAGTGGGCTGTGAAGCTCGCAAGGTGGCGTTAGGGCCACTGAACCTCCCTGGCTGGATCGTTGTTAGAGTTTGATTATTATGGTTATTATTATTATTAATCATCATCGTCATCATTATATAGTAGTAGTAGTAGTAACAATAATAACAATAATAACAATAATAACAATAATAATAATATGAATGTATGGGAGACATACGTTGATTCATATGGGAAGAGGTTGGGGAAAAATTGTTCTGTATCTCTTGGCTGTCTCCTGTGGATTTTCTGGAGGGAACATAAAATCTGTTAAGGAATGTGAACAGGAAAAAAAATGGGCACAGAACAGCTGGAGGAAAGATAGAGACTAGAGAGGCATAGGATATCACTCAACATCTTTTCGGAGGTGCCTGATTTTTGTGGCTTCAGTGGCTGAATACCATTTGGACTTTTCCACATCACCCCGGAGTAGCATTGTGCTGGAGGATTGTTGAATAATTACAATAGCATAGAGTTTTTCAGACCTGTATTATTAATGATGATAGTGATATTGATTGCACTTATTTACTGTCTATCTGATGGCAAGCCACTACTCTGGGTGGTTTACAACAATTAACACCCCACCCATCATATGCACAAATAAAATAACAACAACCCAACTCCTAGGTGACAGCAGCAAAATAAAATTCAAACATAATGAATCTGTCATAATGGCCTGACGTTCTTAAAGGTCTTCTTGAAGGGTGCAGTTTTAACCTGCTTCCTGAAAGACAGGAGGGAGGGCACCTGGCATACATCAGAGGCAACATATTCCACAGCATTGTGGCCACCACTGAAAAGGCTGGTAATATATTGCAGGTGACAAGCATGAAGGTATAAGAAAGTGAAAGAGATAAAGAGAGTTGGAATGTGAGAAGGTATGGTAAGGTAATGTTGTAGGAAGCTTTAAATGAGCTAAAGTGCTTTGGGGCCATAGCCAAGGGCAAGTGACACAGAGCCCAAAGGATCACTTAAGGAGGGTTACCTATGAGCATCTTTCATTTTTCTTATGCTATTTCCTGCCAGGATATTAAGGGATAGCTAATGAGTATCCCTCTTTTTTATCTGCTTTCCTTTACTGAATAGGATGTTTGTGAACTACTGGTTGAAGCTTGTAAACTAGTTCAGCTTCATCAAGAACACCTTGTCAACAAAGTTTGCCAGCTGATTCATCAAATGCTGAACAGATTCCAGGTAAGAAAAGTAGATTTATTTATTTTTTCCTGATCCAGCATATTGACTAAGCCTGATCTAGGCAACCTAGGTTTCTGGGCTTCCATGACTGTGAAATGCATGTAATATAAAATATATGTCAGTGTGCTGTATCCATTTGGTCGTGACACCATTAGTGTGTGGATGTACAACTGATAGAGCAGCAAGTATGAACAAGGAGATGGCACTGATGTTGTCATTACTTGCCCAGTAAAATCCTGCCCCCTTTTCACCAATAGCAAGACATCTTTCCCCCTTCAATTCTTTTTTCTTTCCATCGTTGCAGGTTACAGTTGACGAGGACAGCCTGAGCTACCTCCTGCCGTATTTTATCTCTGCTCTGAAGCAATGCAGTGCTTGGACCCATGTGGAAATCTTGCAGGCTCTGGCCGCTTCTGTCTATAACAGTGGGCCCAAGTGCCAAAAGGTGGGCTCAAGTTTCTTTCCAGATGTCTGCCTAAAGGTCTTTTCCTGTTCCAGTGGATAGTTTTAGAGGAGCCCTGAAAGGGCTGATTTGCGTTTTTATTCTTTTTTTTTTCAGTAGAAGATGCTACAATGTTTTGTTTTCTAACTGGAAAATGAGTTTAATTTTTTTTAAAACTGAAAAAGTCCTGTCAGGTGCTCTAGCAGTTTTTTAAAAAAATGACAATTAAAAACTGAAGAGGGCTGCTGGGACATTAGAAATGTCCCCTTTCCAACTCTGCAGTTCTAAGATCATGAGGTCTGCCACAAAGGTAAATAAAAGCAAAACAGAAGAATTATGGCAATCTTAAGCCTAGAAAACCTATCTTGGTAGTGCCTTCTGTGGATTTACAATCCCCTTTGGGCACACCTATTGTTTCCTATTGTAAATGTTGCTATGAAAGATAAGGTGAATGAGTTCCCTTTTACTTCTGCCCACTGTGTTTGTAATGCCTCATTAATGCCTGTTTCTTCCATTCATTTTTGCTTACCATGGGAGTGAACAACTGAGGCCCTCCAGATGTTGGGCTGCAACTCCCATCATCCCTAGCCGGCTTAGTCAGTGGTGAGAGGTATGGGAGTTGTTGTATCTCCCAAACCTCTGGAAGGCCACACCAGTGCACTGTTGGCTCACACAAACAGCTAGGGTTTGTACTGACATGTGTTTTGTCTCCATATTTATAGTATCTTCCAGATTTGATAGGCAAACATGGACTTCTGGTGCAACTCAGCAGCCCTGCTCAAACTGATACGGAGCTCAAAAGGGCTGCAGTCCACAGCATGGCGAACCTGTGCCTAAGGTATGCTTTCAGCAAATGAGGGGTGATTGGGCCTAGTTAATTAATTAATTAATTCATGGGAAGGAGCAGGCATCTGTTCACCACAATTAGCAATAAGATGTGAGCTTATAAGCAACCGTTCTTTGCCTGGGCATCCAGTGCAAAGCATTTTTACTTGGAGGCGAAGCCAGCATGCATTAAACTGGGACCAAGTATCTGTCTTTAGAACTGCAACTCCGGATCAGGCGTTAATGTTACTAGCCCAGCTCCCCACAAATTACAGAAGGTTTATTGGTCAATGTAGCACTTCATTAAGTTGCTAAATTGGTTAAACTGAAATAGGCAAACTCTTTCTGGAAAAAAAAATGTAGATGAAATAGAAAGCAAGCACACTCTTGCAAGGGTGTCTGAAATATGACCAGCTGCATACTGACTGTGAAATGATCCACCCCAAGGACGACTTGTGGAAGGTGGAAACTGATGGCGCAGTTACCACTCTGCGTGTGTTTTTCTCCGAATCTTCCTGGTGGTTTGTGCAGGGGTAAGTTCAGTGGCATATATCACTGGTCTGCTTGTGCTCCTTATCCTTCCGCCTGGCACACAGTGAGGGATACGAGTGGCGATTCTTTAAATAGTGCCGCACGGTTTGTTGCCGCTGTGGATGCCAGTGCACTCACACCAGGGCCGATGACCAGTTGGATTCAGGCCAAAGGCATGCTTTTTTTTTTAACCCAAATGGTAGCTATCAGTGAGTCTCCTCTCCCTCCCATTAATGAACATCCCATATTGGTTCCTGTGGCATTTGCTCTTTGTTTTCATTGCATCTTTATGAGGCCCCAAAGATCTATGTATGATCTTCTTGCTTTGAAGATGTGTTTGTTGCCAATATCTGCCACATACTTGCTGATGGATAAATTATTTTTCTGCATCTAATTTTTTTTTCTTGGCTTGAGTTTTTCTTTTTTCTTTTTGGGTCTGTTTAGCATACCTGGCCAACCGTACCTAGAGGAACCTTACAGAGAGATTTGCTTCCAAGCTTTTCTCCGAGTGTTGCAGTCTTCGAAAGGATCTGAAGTGGAGGACATCACCTTATGCATGGTGGGTGTAAGTCCAGCTCTTTGGGGAGCGAGGGCTCAATTGGGCTACACGGCAAACTCTGAGAAAGTGACCGTGGAAGAGATATGGTGTGGGTGACCGCAATGTTTGCTATTCATGGCAGTCTGAGTTAACTTCACGTATGGGTTAGAAGGGGTCTCTCTGCAGTATGTTAAGGAAGGACAACATATGAGGTGAAGCAGTATCTTCAAATGGCGGTTAAGCGTTTGATGAATGAGACTACAGTAGAATCCTCTTATCTATGAGATCAGAATCCCCTGATTCAGTTATTCACAATCTGAAAATATTAAAGGAAAAATCCCCAATTTTAACAATGAAGTTCCCAGAACCGGCCACTAGACCTACAGTACTGATCCGACCACTTTTCCCCAAGATCATCTACCCTCTCCACCAGGTCCTCCCAGCTTTACAGAGAAGCCTTCCAATACAAGTCTGCTTGATGTCTGGAATTGCTCCTTTTCTCCCGTCTGGCTTCCATCTGTTCGTTGGTTGGATGCAGTTTCTTTGTTGCTGTGTTTTCTTACTTGCTGTAAATGCTCTAGAATAGTGCTTTGTACTAATGGCGTGGTATATGGATCTAATAAATAAATAAATAATGTGGCAGAAACCTTTCAGGTTGCCTTCGTGCATAGCCATTATATCACAGACTATGTTGTGGTGTCATTTGATGCCAAGCTGTTGGGGAGAGTGGCTAATGTGTTGGTTTGTTTTCCCCTCCCCTTCAGTTGTTACAGAGTGCCTTAAAAGGAATCCAGTCCCTTCTAAATGGTGGGAAGATGAAGCTAGCCCAGACCGATCAGCTTGGTTCCCTTCTTGCTGTGTTAAAGGTGATTCTTATACCATTTCAATGGAAGTCTTGTTTCTCGACTCGTGACATCCCAATAAAAAGGAGAGATTCTCCTGCCTTCAGGTTAAACTGCAGGAGGAGGACTACAGTGGGGGCATTCCTGGAAACAAAGTTTATGAATCCGATGTGTTTCAGTAAATCACAAATGACTATTAATCGCAGTGAGAAGAGGAGATGTGGTCTCTATTTAAGCTAAAAGGAAACGAAACCTGCATTGAGGGTGGGGAGCATTCAAGCCCTAAAGGCAGTAAACCATGATTTACCGTGACAGCTGAGCACAGTTTGCCCTGTGGGCAGGGGAGATTACAGTTTGTAAAAATAAAACCTAAAACACCACTTGTTGTCAATGCAGATGAATTCAGCTCTGAATCATGCTTATCTGAAGCAGCACGTGGGCTTATCTGGTGTAAAATGTTGGGCCGCTTCATTGAGGCCTCGTCTGAGTTAACCTGTAGGTTTGCGATTGCTATGCCTTCTTTAAAAAAAAATCTTGCTTGGAGTTTTAGATCCGCAAACCTAATAGAGGTTCAGAAGCGCAATGGGGTGAGTGGGAACTGGATGAATCCAGGAATGTTTAGCAAGAGGGTCAGGGGACAGCCAGCACTGGAATTTGATGATGTCCAGAAGTTGCCTTGTAGAAGAAAAAGAGCAACAGTGTTTTTGGGGCCACTAAAGTTGACTGTATTGCCAAAAAAAAAAAAAGCAGAGGCTAGCGATCGCTTTGCTGCTATCAAGATATGTAATTGTGGCGTGTGTTGCTGCTTTCAGAAATACATGTTTCATGGGCTTCCTGGTCTGAACATAGACATGCCGGCCATCTTATACCCAGCCGTTCTTCCCCAGTATGACAGCAGGTCTCCAGTCCAACAGGAGAAGTCAGAACTGACCACCATGAAGCCAACTGGGGTAATCTTTTGGATGCGCTTCTACATTCATGTATATGCTACCCCAGGGGTTGACCAAAGCTCTATACTTGGCATAAACTGGGATCATTTTTCTGAAATCTTGATTTTTCTGGATCATGCTGCTTGTGGAAATGTTGTTGCCCAAGTTGAGGTCTCCAGGAGGGAGGCCACCTGTCACTTACTATACTTGGCATAAACTGGGATCATTTTTCCGAAATCTTGATTTTTCTGGATCACGCTGCTTGTGGAAATGTTGCCCAAGCTGAGGTCTCCAGGAGGGAGGCCCACCTGTCACTTATGCGACACAGCACTTCCGTGAATGATGCAGCCCTTCACGTCATGCTGTTGGGACTCCTTGCTCAGCAGGATGCTGGCTGAAGGGTTCTGGCAAAGGCTGACTGATGATGCTAACCTTGTTCTGCCTTGCAGGGCTGTCAGGATGACAGAACAGGAGCCTTCTGTACATTCAATACTGAGATAAAGTTTGATGGCATGTATGTCAATGTGGCTACATTTTGCACACGTAGTATTTTAATGAAACACTGTCTTAAACATGCATATCAGCAATACCCCAAAGTTAAGGAATCAGTGTGGATGCATGCTATTTCAGAATTTAAACTGTCTATAGCAGAGGGCTGCTGTTTAAGGAAAACAGATTGCCTTCTTTATACTGTATTTGCTTACTAAAAGAATTCCTCTTCTCTGTGTAATCGTCCTTTAAACAGAGCAGGAGGAAAAAGCCCAAGGCCAAGCAGAAGAAGGGGAAGGTGGAAGAAGAAGAAGAGGGCGCCCAGGGAGGTAGAACAGAGAAAACCAAGTTCTGTGCAGATGTGGAACAGTATCCTGGTCTAGATGCTTTGAATCGGCTTTCGGGGGGCCCCCCTGCGTTCCACACGAAGGACCCATTGCCTTTGCGCGCTCTCAGCTGGAAACGATTCAGCAGCAGTGACTCGGAGTATTCGGACGCTGATGGCGGAATACAGAGCAAAATAAGGTTTGCGATAAACCCCCCCCCCTCAAAAGAAAAAAACACCCCAAACCACCTATTTGTAGACACAGCACTGAAGTGCATGCATTTTGAGTCTTGATGGTTCTGGCCGATAATGCCAGGAGCTGAAGTGTCAAATGACCATTTGATGGCTGTATTTTTTTCCCCTTCCTGATTTACACCAAGATGCCGATCAGTGAAAGCTATAAAACCCATCTCGTGTAGGTGTATGTGTGTGTGTGTGTGTAGGGGGGATCCTAAATCGGTGTCTTTTATTGTGCCAGGTCTTTCCAGGCAAAAGTTCGGCAGGGGGCTTTAACCTGCTTCCTTTCCACTGTGAAGTCGATAGAAAAGAAAATCCTGTATGGCTACTGGTCAGCATTTGTCCCTGATGCGCCCGGAATAGGAAGCCCACAGTCTGTGTCCTTGATAACGATTGCTTTGAAAGATCCGTCTCCAAAGGTATGGGCTCCCTGGCCTGAGGGAGGCTGGCGATCCTTTAACCTGGGGAGGGAGGGGTCCCTTGTGGCCCTCCAGGGGTTGCTGGGTTGCAACTCCTGCTGTCGCACCTGGGTGGCTTTAGCAGTGCAAAGAGGGAATAGTCGTCATATCCTGTCTGAGACAACCTAGAACTAGGAAGTGACACATGTCTAGTAACATGTGATGCCAAACTACTTGGCTAACACTGCCACCAGCACTGCTGCTTTTAAAGGGTAATGTAATTGATGGCAACAACCATTTAAATATGTTTTAATTTAACAAGTAGAGATGGGCACACACTGCCGGTTTGTTTCTCGGCCAAGTGGGTGTCTGGTAGTTCCCAGCCCTGCCTCCTCTGGCAGGTGTTTGCACAGAAGTAGCACCCACGTGTCCCTGCACTGCCTCCTCCGGGCACTGCCCCTGCCTGGGTGGCTGCTGGAGGAGGCAGGGCTGGGAATCACTGAACATCTCTGTTCAGCCGAGAAATGAACTGCCGAACCAGCAGTTCGTGCCCATCTCTAATTGTCAGTCATATTTACTTTTTGGGGACTCTATTTCTCTCTCTCTCACACACACACACATACACACACACACACTGAAGTGTTCTCTTCAGTGACCTCTCTTTTGCTGTTGCAGACACGGGCCGTCGCCCTCCAGGTTCTCTCATCCATCTTGGAAGGCTCCAAGCAGTTCCTTTCCATTGCCGAGGACGCAGATGATCACAAGAGAGCATTCACACCGTTCTCTGCCACCCTTGCTTCCAGCATCCAGGAGCTTCATCGCTGTCTGCTGTTGGCCCTGGTAGCTGAATCCTCTTCCCAGACTCTCACTCAGATCATCAAGGTAAGCCCTTGCCTTGAAAAACTGCCTTGGTATTGTCAGTTCTACTGGTTTTTCTGTAAGCAAATACAGTGGTGCCTTGCTTAGCGATTGATCCGTTTTACGGCGAAATTGCTTAGCGACGCTGTTTTTGTGATGTTTCCTATGGGGAAAATTTGCTTTGCGATGATCGCGGGGAAGCAATCATTGCAAAGCCCCCATTTTCGGCCAGCTGATTGGCGGTTCTAAAATGACCGCCGGGGGAAAAAATGTCCACCCGCTGTTTTGCCTCGCTTTAGAGGCACCGATTCCCATAGTGCTTAGACATCTGGTTATCTCTCCCAGAAAACTATAAGAGATTCAGCTGTAGTCATTTTTGTGAGGATGATGGTGCAGATTGCGTTCACTTGCTGTCAGGCAGCCTACGCTAGAATTAAAAGGATCATCTCTGAGGTGTGCAGAGTGGAACATACTATCCGTTTATGCCAAGACTTTTGAGAATGAAGGAATCGTTTGAAAAGGGTTTCTTTTCATTCATTGTCTTGTGGTGAGATTTCCCGCCGGGGCCGTCTTGCAGATACTGCAACGGTAGGTGAGAAGATGCACGCCCTGCCTGTGGCTTTGCTCCCGGGGACTAAGCGGCTTCCGCTCTTGCTTCCTGTCCCTTGACAGAGCCTTGCTAACCTGGTCTTGAATGCGCCATACAGCCGCCTGAAGCCGGGACTGCTGACCAGAGTCTGGAACCAGATAAAGCCGTACATTCGACACAGAGGTATGCAGGGTTTTTCTCTGTGAGCTTTTTCTCTCCCAAAACGTTGTCCTGCAACCGTCCGCCTAAGCGTGTGAACATGGCTGCCCAGGACAGAGCCGCCTGTCACAGGCTGTGGACAATGCGAGAGGGGCACCGATCCTCACCCAAGTATGGCCTGGCGCTTCCCTGCCAAGAATCCCTTGCCCCGTTGCCGACATCGGTTTCTTTGTTGTTTGAAACAGGCTGGCCTTGGCCTTGCTGTGGCGCCATCACGGGCCCTTCTCCTTGTTTCTCCTCCCAGATGTTAACGTTCGGGTGTCGAGCCTCACCCTGCTAGGGGCAATCGTTTCGGCGCAGGCTCCCTTGCCGGAGGTCCGCCTCCTCTTGCAGCAGCCCGCCTCCTCTGCAGGCCTCGGCAACAGCGGATCTGGCACGCCGCCCGGCCCCAGCGTCCCTGAGTGGCGTCGAGAGGCCGCTGGGGCTTCCCAGGCCGGGGCAAGTGTGCCTGTGGAGTGTTGCTGGCTCCACTCCCTCTGCATCTCTCTGGTGATGCTGCCCCGAGAAGACGGCTGCTCAGACAGCGATGCCGGCTATCCGACGCCCGTGAGCTCCTACGAACCGTCCCCAGTTCGGCTGGAGGCGTTGCAGGTGCGTCCCCAAAACTTAGGTTCTCAGGGCCCGGAATCAAGGCATTGTAGGGTTGTGGTTGCCACTGCTCCTCACAATTCTCTGTGCTGCCTCGGACTGAGGGGACTTGCAGTCCAGCTGGTGACAGAGGCACGGGAGAGGGCCTTCTCTGCAGCTGCTCTCATAGACGGTGGAACTCCCTCCCACTGGAGGCCAGCCGGGCCCCATCTTGGCTGTCCTTCCGCAAGCAGACCCTTTCTCTTCAGGCAGGCTCACCTTTAAATGACTGGTTGATCCAAGGGGGTTGTGTTGTTTCACCTGGGCTTTTAATATTGCTCTTATTTAAGAGTTTTAATACAGTATCTGTTTAATGCTTTTTAATATTGTTATAATTTATTGTGGAGCTTTTGATCGTGTTTCTTTTCATACTGTAAGCCATCTTGGATCCTTTAGGAGAAAGGCAACATATATATGTTTTAAAACCAACTAAACTCTTGGAAGTTATTTTGGCTTAAATATCTGGTAGGCTTCTAATGTAAAAGCCGTCAGGATAACCACGTTAATCTTCCATCAAAAAAGCTCCTAAACTTCCATGGACTGGAGCCCATGTCTTCAGGTGCCTAAATTATTCTCTTTGCTTGCACGCATGGAGGGGAAAAGCGTCAATGGGGCTGGAAGGCATGACAGTGCTAGTTAAGGATGATGGGAATTGTTGTTGTACATATAGAGAGAGCACCAGGTTGGCGCAGAGCTGTTGGCAGGCAAAAAGGACCAAGTAGACAACTGGTTTCTTTGCAAGACAGTGGCCTTACGTTCACATTTTCTCGTCTCTTCTTCCCATGGCTGCTTCCTTGCTTCTTTTATCTGCCACAGGTCTTAGTGCTCCTCGTCAAGGGCTATTTCTCAGTCTCTCAGAGCTATTTACTCGAGCTTGGCCAGGTGGCCTGTAAATGCATGGAGGAAACAGACCCCTCGATCCAGCTTCACGGAGCAAAAGTAAGAACTTGTACATTCTTTTGGCCCTCAAACGAAAGCCAAGATCTTGTTCGCTTCGATGATCGATCGTGGAAGAGCCATTGCACGAGAGTTTCCTCCCTCCAGCAGGTTCTCCTCTCCATGACCGCCTGCATCCGAGTAGCAAAGTTAAGCATGGAGGAGTGATGTACAGTTGCCCTGGAGGGTGCAGAGTTTCGAAAGGATTCCAGTGTTTTGTTTTTTTTTTACCTTCTAGAGAAACTGTTCATTCGAAACTGTGCACTTACTTTATTATACTGATCTGCCTTCTAGCAGTCAATGCTTTTACTATTGGTTTTTTAAACAGCTTTGAATTTTACTAGGGAGAATCATTTTAGGGGACCTGCTTTTTTTTTAAAGGTGTCGATACAGGTACAAAAAAAGAATATACAAAATTTCTCACATGTGTAACTGTAAAAACCATCAGAATTCCACATGCTCACTGATTTTGATAACAAAGACAATTGTGTTTTGACTGTCTTTATGTACGCTCTTCTCCCCAAGTAGGAAAAAGGGGGACACATTTAATGTAAGCATTCCATGCAGACCTCTGTTGTCTTGTTTCGCAAATCTGAAATGTGATTCCTGCTACTGTTTTTTATTTCGGCAGCTTCTGGACGAGCTCGGGGTGGGTATAATTCAGCAACACAAGCCCGATCTGGCTGTTGCTCCCGACCAACGGGTGCCTCTTGACCTGGTATGTGTACATCTATCTCTTAAGAACACATTTTCCAAGTTCTGCCCTTTTCTCTGTTTTTGCTTTTGACACCAGCACCTTGCCAGTAATAATAACTTTTGCCCTTGTAATCTAAAAGTCATGACACAAAAGGAAAAGAAGTTGGGAGGAATGAGGAAAAAAGTGAGCGCCAGCTTGGTTTGAGTGATGAAGTTCTAGCAGAACGGAAAATGCTAAAGTTTAAGGTGAAGATGAACCCAGTGTGGCTAGTCTCATGGCTCAGCCTAAGGAGCGTTCCTGCTTTCCTTCTGTTGCTTTATTCCCCAGAGTTTTGGAAGGGTGACTGCCGGGTTACAGTTGATGGAGAGAGCAAACCGGGAGAGCCCTCTTTTCAGCCCATCTGATTGCCACCCTGTTTTCTTCGATTCCTTCTGCTGCCACAGAATCTACTGCTATTTATTGCAAACCGGGAGAGCCCTCTTTTCAGCCCGTCTGATTGCCACCCTGTTTTTCCTTTGATTCCTTCTGCTGCCACGGAATCTACTGCTATTTATTTTTGTTTGTTTATTTATTTAATTTGTGTACCACCCATCTGGCAACCCAGCCCATTCTGGCTGGTTTACATAGTATACAGTACTTTACCACTGAACATAATCACCACCATCATCTTACAACTGCAGAGCTGGAAGAGACCGTATGAATCACAGTTAAGGTGGAACAGTGGGAATTGAACTTCCAACTGGATTACCTATAACCTTCTAACTTCCAGCTTCTAGCTCTACAGCCAGATACTGAAATCACTGAGCTATTCAGCAGTGACATGCTAGCCAGGGTTTCTGGGAACTGACGTCCAAATCATCTAGAGCTCCAAAGGTTCTGCATCTCTGTTCTGTTGACTCCCAAGTAACCATAGACTTTACATTGCTTTGGAATAGCTTTTTTGGGGAGGAAAGAAGTAGTAAATATGGACAAGAATTTGGATGGGAGCAGTACTCCACCTTTGTGTGACTTTAGGAATAGGCCTGCATCGAAAAATTAAGCAGGCTAAGAAAGTAAGTGATCATTGTCCCAAACGATTTAAAAAATATTTGCACCATTATTTAGATTCAGAATGCTGAAGCCATGTTCATTAAGCAGGACTAGATTACCTAAATCCACCCATCAATTAATCTGGTATATTTAGGTTTAGGCAATTCAGTCCTGCTTAATGAATAGGGCTTAGGCATTTCAGTCTAAGTAAGGAACTGCTGATTGGAGGGTTTTGGGGTAAAATATTTATTAGTTCTCAGAATATTCCAAATTTAATGTGAACAGAGGTTTAAGTTTAATTAGCTTTCCCTAGGCCCCATTTCAAGAATTATCCTTTATTGGGCTTCCGGCGGCCATTTTGGAGCCGCCGAACAGCTGATCGTCGGGCTTCGTTTTGCGAAGATCGGTAAGCGAAACGCTTACTGATCTTCGCAAAGCGAGTTTTGCCCATAGGGGCCATTGGTATGCGATCGCATTTGCGATCGCTAAGACCCCATCGCTATGCGATTTCGTCGTTATATGGTGCGCTCGTTAAGCGAGGCACCACTGTATGGAGACTAAACAACAATTTTGTCGGCAGAAGTGCTTTGGAACAGCGGCTAGAACTTCAGCAAGGCTTTTTGTTCACCCTGTAGGTCGTAACATTCTGGACCCGGATGCTGAACGGACCATTACCAGCCGCTCTCCAGAACTCTCAGCATCCCACGCTTCAAACCAGCACATGCAACGCGCTCTCTTCGATCTTACCGGACGCATTCAGCAGCCTTCCAGTGAGTACGTTGCTGGGTTTTGTAGCTGGGACTTCTTACTGAGAACGAGAAGTCAGTGCGAGTCAGTTGCAATTTTTCCCCCATATTCCAAGACGATGCTTCTTAGCTTAGACAGCAGAGAAAGAGAGCCGGGTGGGACTGTAAGGCCCTTGGCAAAATGGTGCCCCCTGCAGCCAGCAAAGCAGTTGAGCTGGGGAAGGTGGCGGGGAGCCAGTACCTTCTGCAACCCAGTGCTGTCTGGATTTGTGGGACTTCGGCTCCCACAGTTCTCTAGCCAACCCAGAATGGTGTATGTCCTTGGAGAATGATGCAGAATCATGACTCTGCATCACAAAGAAATATGGATAGAATGTGCCTTGTCTGCAGTCTGCGTTTCACTGAGATTTTGAGTGGGTCATCCCCTGCGTTTCACTGAGATTTTGAGTGGGTCAGCAGAGGAGTTCCCTCGCGATGACCAGATAGGCGGGGTATAAATTAAACTAATTAATTTATTGATTAATTAATTAATTAATCATTAATTAATTGATTGATTGATTGATTAATTTATCGTGATGTATCCCAGTGTTCTAGATGAGCCTCAGTCCCTGATTCTGCCTGTCACCCCATATCCCATGGGACTGCAGGGGTCTAAACGCTACCGTCTCCAGCCAAGGCTGCAGAGTTCCACATTGCTCCTGTTTCCCCTCTTCTGTTGTGACTTTCTTTTATTCCCACTCCTGGCTATTTGTTCACAATATATTTCACCGGGATCTATGCCTTTTAGCAAAAGGCATATCCCCCGAGCAGGGTTCTGGGAATGGAGCGAACCGGGCCAGCTCCTGTTGGTGTGAGGCGGACTCGCTCTGACGGCGTCTGAGCTCCCTTGCTAGTCTTCTCTTCTGCGAGTCCCCACCTTCCCTGGCATTTGAAATGCCTCGCCTCTGCTGAAGCTGCTTAACCAAACGAGTCGGTTGCCTGACATTTGCCTCCTGTTTCTGATGGCAGGAGGACAAGCAGATCCTCTGCATTACCATCCTCCTGGGGCTCAACCACAGCGAGAACCCGCTGGTGAAAGCGGCAGCCGCCCGGGCGCTGGGGGTTTATGTGGTCTTCCCGTGTCTTCTACAGGTGAGCGATGGATTTAATGGTTCTTCGTCCTCCTCCTTTTGCTCTGGGCTGTTCTTTTCCTTTTCCACCTTTATTTTGGTTTATGAGATGGGACCAGTCATGTCCTTTCAGTCCTTACCTAGGTGGGCAAAGTGAGTGGAAGAATCCAGGGAGCTGCTTTATCCTGAGGTTGGCCATCGGTCCGTCTACCCTAGATCAGACTGGCCAAAGCTCCTTGGGGTTTGAAGCAGGATTGTTTCCTCGTACCACCTGCAGCTCTGCGTATTCCCTGGTGGTCTCTCATTCCGGAGCGGACCAGGCCTGATCCTGCTTTCCTTCTGAAATCCGAGGAGATCAGATGTGTGTAAAGGGCGGTATTGCAGTGACTGTTCCTCTCTGGTTCATTTGCTTTCTTTGGACAATTTATACACATTAATAGAGCCAGCAAACTGGAAGCTGGCTTGCGTACAAGTTTGTTTATCCAAAGGCTTCATGTACATTTTCTTTTTTACTTGCCCTGAGATTGTGTCATGCAGCTGAGAAACCTTCTTCTGAGTCATATTCTAAATCTATAATCTTCAAATGGACCGACTTCCACTTCCACTTGCAGAATACTGTAGCCCTTTTGAATAGATGTTCTCCAGCTTGGCTCTTGGACAATTACCTCTCTTTTCCGATGGGTGGGACGAGGAACTTTTTAAACGTTCCCCATGTATTGCAACAGGGACCACTGATTTGGCCGCCCTGTGGATATTATTAAAAACAGCTGGAAAGCAAGTATTTTTGTTCAAACGCATGAAGTTTGCAAGCGAGCCCTATTATTTCATGAGCAAAAAAGGTTTTCCGCAACAGCCCAGCCGAGCTAAACAGCTTAGCAACCAAACAGCATAGGGGAGTTATTTAGAAGAAAAATCAGGACCGGAAAGAAATAAAGGAGAAGACAGGAGTGTTGCACTGACTCACAAGGTCACTGGGGAGTGCAGAGCAGCAATTAATTTAATGATAGGGTGTGATTAGTGCAAGTGTAAGATTAGCAGGTTGAAGTAATTGCCGTTGATTCTAAATAGCTAGAACGCCAATTAAATGAAAGTGTACTCGGAGGCCCTCGTGGCATCCGGAGACCAGTGAAGCTTGGGCAACTTGTACAGTTTGGCGGTAATTAAGGATCAGTCAAGGCAGCATTGAGCGCAGCGTCGCACGGTACTCGTTCTGCACAAGGGAAGGCTGAACTTTTTAAAAGTCTGAATGGCTTCAAGCGAGGAATTGTGTGAGCTCGTAGCGGATACGGCTACTCCAAGGTTGCCAAACAGAACCTCTGTGACCTAGAGCAGTGTACACTTCAGTTCTGTGGGTATCCCCACGTATATCATCATTGTAAGGAAGGTCAAGGCCTGCAACCAATGCCTGCAACACAAATATGAATTTCTCTCCTGCAGCTCCTGGCTGCCCCTTCCCCTTTTCCTTCCTGGTCCATACTTCTTCCTGGCCGATCTTTCTCTCCTTCCCTGGGTCAGGTCATCTCCTGTTCCATTCTCTTTTCTTAAATCATAAATCATTACAAGGTGTGAAATGCTGTCAGCCCCCATGTATAAGACGCCCCCCGCTTTTCTAATCCAAAATTAAGACATTTAAGTGGGGCTTAGCAAGTGTAGGGGATCGCTTTGATCCCTGCTTTCCCCTCCACTTGTTTTTGTTCTCTCCTCAGCTTACTTCCATGAATATGACCCTTAATGTTTAGTCTAAAGATTTTAGACAAAAGTATAGTCTTATACACGGAAAAATATGGTAAACTTAAAACCCCAGAAATGTGTTTCCAAGCGGTATTACTAGGCCTGGCCACTAGAGGGAACCAGAGACCAGGAACACAGAGTTCCCTGTATCTGCGGTTTCTGACATCTGCAGGGAAGGGGCAGTTTGGAACCCGTCCTCCAAGCCTGCTGTGGTCCTAGTGGGTGCCAAAGGATTGCAGTAGGAAGTCACTTGATTGGCCGGCTTTCTGGGAGCAGAGGTTGGAACAAAAATGACAGAACAGTAACCACTGGTATTTCTCCTTAGGATGTGATGTTTGTCGCGGACACAGCCAACGCGATCCTGCACTCTCTCGGCGACTGCTCTCCGAATGTCCGTGCCAAAGCCGCGTGGTCGCTGGGCAACCTGACAGACACCCTGATCATCAACATGTGGGTAGCCGACCCCTTGGTTCTGGCAGCCTCAAGAGCTTTCGAAATCTCCCTCGTTTGGATCGGAGTTTCCAGAATCCTTCAGTCAGCCTGGTCAGGGTTGGCTGGTGGGTTTGGGGACTTGTAGTCCAAAGAAGGAGTTTTCCCAAGCTGTGGGCATTCTGCCCTAAAAGGATGGTGGCCTTTTAAAAATAAATAAATAAATAAATAAATAATACTTTATCTATTTTGACACTTCTTTTCAGTGTAAGTTCTCAGAGCGTAAGTTGTAACTTAGCCATATGATAATAAGAGTCAACTGATCCATGCTGTGCTGTGGGATCTCTCTCCTCCTGCCCCCAAATCCCTCGCATGTAAGAAACCTAGCACTTAAGGATGACTTTTCTTTCTCTCTACATCCTAGCTTGCCATCTGCAGAGCAGTTTTTACTCTAGAAAAGAAATTACATGGGTTTCCCACAATCTAAAATAGCTGGTCCCCAAACAACCGCATGCTTCTTTTAACTTTGAAATGGGTTTCCAGGTTGTTATATAGGTTCTTGTAGTGTTCATACATTTCCTGTTGCTTGGTCTAATTCTGATTTGTTTCCCCTCGTGTTGCAGGGAGCTAATGGGGCAGAGCTTCCAGGACGAGTTTTCAGATCTCCTGCTGCTGAAAATGTTATGCTCAGCAACAGAGGCATCGAAGGACAAAGATAAGGCATGTACCCCATCATTTAGGGTCGGGGGCAATTCCCCTCTGTGACAGCTGTTCTTGAGTTTGGACATCCTTGAAGCAAATAATAATCATGTCCAGTCAGTTTTGACTTTAGGGCAACCACTTTTATTGGTGATGGAAAACTCAGAATTGCTTTACCCGTCCCTCCTTCTGGGAGGGGGGGGCCCTCCGGGGACTATGTTGCTTGCCCAAGGCTACCCACGCTGGCTCTTTCTCCCAGGAAGCACAGCGAGGGAATCAAACTCCCAACCTCTGGCTCCGCAGCCAGAGGTCAAAACCATAGAACTACCCAGCCAGCTTGAAGTAAAACGATGGTGAAAATTACACAGCCAGTATTGCGGGGGGTATGTTGTAAAAGTGCTTAAGCATCCATGAGGGTGAACTGCTTTGGGTCCCTTGTTGGGAGAAATTCATCATCATCATCATCATCATCATCAAATTTAAAAAGGCACGGGCATCTCAGTCGAAGCCTGGCATTTTCTCCGGCAGGAGGCACAAGATGTTCACTCGGAACTGAAGCTGCTACTCTGGGCAGACCCTTAGTGAGCATGCCTTGTATACTTTGACCCAGAGAGGTTTCCCGGGTGGCAGCCTGCTTTCTTGCACACATCCTGTAGTCGTCCTTTCTTAGAAGGACTGGTTCTGTGTTTTCCCCGCGTGACTCCATGCCCCAAGAGTTTTACGGCCTTTCTTGTTATGGTTCCCTTGCTCCTCCGAGATTCTAATGAGCGCATAGGTGGCCTCGTGGCCTGTTAAAAGCGAACACTTGCTATGACGAGGCTGGATAGGCAATGTCTTTATCAGACCACTAAAAAAAAACCCCCAATAATCATAAAATCTGCTCACTTTCGTGTCATGCTCTGATGTCTTACGAGTCTAGAAGCTCTAAGACATCAGTGGATTTTGCCAGGCACACATTGATTTATTTTTACTTTTATTTATTTTTTTACTCCGTTTGGTCCTCTAGTTTGAATATGTAAGTTGGTGCTCTCTGGATGTTTGGAATCACAGCCCCAGCCAGCAGGGCCGGGGAACAGGATTATAGGGGTTGAACTTCAAAACATTGGGAGTTCTTTAAAAGCCTATGATGTGGGTAAGCGGTACAGAAGGAATCAAGTCCTCAAACATCAAAAATCTGCCCTCTTGTTCCCTCCTGCTTGAAGACCTTAAGATGTAGTTACTGACTCCACTTTAAGAAATTGGGAACCTGTGCAGTTTTCAAAATGTGATACTACACATGCAGTACATAATCAATCAATCAAATAATTAATTAACTCATCCATTCGATTTCTGTCCTGCCTTTCTCCCAGTAGAAGGATTCCAGGCAGCTAATGCATGGACCCATCATACATTCAATCGCAGGAATTTTATTTTTATTCACAACAAAGCTTTTTAAATCTCCTCTCCAGGTGAAAAGCAATGCCGTCCGGGCCCTGGGAAACCTCCTTCATTTCCTCCAGTCGTCCCACATCACTAACCCAAGGTTCAACCAGCCCATTGAGGACGCTATCCTGGCTCTGACATCCGCAGTGCAGAGTGAGGCCACCATGAAAGTGCGCTGGAATGCTTGCTACGCCCTCGGGAACGTCTTCAAAAACCCTGCCTTGCCACTGGGTGAGTGAAAAAAATGCGTGCTGCTTTTGGCTTCCACGTTGGAGGTGCTGCTGTATGATCGGGGCGCATCCTCCAGGGTGGCTCTGTGTGCAGATTTCCCTCCCGTTGTTACATGGTGCTGAGTTGGTCTATATTTGGCGCCCCTTAGTGGCAGGATGGAGTAAGGATCCCAGAAAAGTCCTTTCGGATCCAAATTTTAGGGTCTTTCTTAACTCCTTTCCCATAGTTGCTGCCTAGGCATCTCCAGAAATGTCACCCGCGAGGCACAGAAGTCTGGAGGAATCCATCTCGCTTGCCGTCAATCTGTTTCTCTTGGCTCACCACCAGTGAACTGGCAGGTTCGATCCAGTTGTGGCGGTTAATGGACTCTCGTTAAGGCTTGGAGGTGGTCACAGATGAATGGCTTGCTTGTGCGAGGTCTCCGGTCTAGTCTCTGCATCTCCAGATTGAACAAGAGGGAAACTCTGGGGAGTCCCTCCTAGCCAAAATAAGCGATACAGCGCTAGGTGGATGGATCAGTTGCCTGAACCGACGAGGCGGCTTCCAGGGTTCTGCTACAGCACAGGCGGGAGTTAGTTGGGCCCCTCTTGGGAACCCCACGTAGCCCGCCAAGCTCCTTAAATAAGTCTCTCAATCCTTCCCTACTGCAACATTTTGACCTTCAGATGGATAGACTCCATGAGGGTTTCAGTGGGAACACTAGTCCCCTTGCTCCTCAGCCCCCTTTTTTTGGCGACCAGAAGCAACTGCTTTTCAAAACTGCAAGTGACCAGTTAAAAAAAAAAAGATGGGTGGCTCCGTTGAGGAGGCCTTAAGGATGCTAGAAAGGTATTGGATACAGTCCCTGAACCCTCTGCAGTTGCCCTGCATCCTATTACAACTATCCTGTGCTCTCTTTGCAGAGAACAGGGTGCTCACGCTCTTCCAAATGCTGAATTATCATTTATAGGTTGGATTTGTGGCTGACATTTGTTTGCTTGGTCCAAATGTTTTAGGCGAAGCCCCCTGGACCGCCCGAGGCTACGGCGCCCTCATCTCCGTGGTCCAGTCCTGCAAAAATTTCAAAGTCCGCATCAAGTCGGCCGCGGCCCTCTCCGTTCCGGCGAAAAGGAAGCATTATGGGACGCCCCAGCAGTTCTCCGAGATCTGGAATGCCCTGGTGGTGGCTCTGCAGCGGAGCGAGGAGGCCGAGGACTTCCTGGAGTTCAAGTACAGCGCCAGCCTCCGGACGCAGCTCTGTCGCGCCCTCCTGCATCTGCTGAGCCTGGCTGAGGAGGCGGACCTGCCTGCCATCCGGAGGTCGGTGGCCGAGCACGGAGAACTCGTGGCCTCCTATCTGTTGCAATACATGAGGTCAGGGGGAGAGGAAGAGGAGGCGGGACCGGGCGAGCCCTCTCCCGAACGAGGCAGAGTCCTGGAAGGAGCCATAGAGCACATTCGAGCGATTGAGGAAATGCCCCGAGGTTGCCCGGCGAAAAAGGGGGCTGCTGCTTATCTCGAGGACATCTTGAAAACTCACCACAGCTCCATGGGGCTCACGGAAGGTTGAGGAATGTGGCGGCCGCCTTAGAACATCCTGTTTTACACTAGATCATGCAAAAGGACCTGCCCGAGGGAGGGCTGACACACAAGGCACAACAAGGAAGATTTGGGCAGGAACGAAAACACTAGCCTGGGACAGAATAGGGATTCTGTTGGTATATCTCTCTCTCTCTCCCCCCACCCCACCCCCCGTACTGTGGAGGTAGCGGTGTATTTCTGCCAATGACTTGGGGTATCTCTCTCTCTCTCTCTCTCTCCTGTACTGTGGAGGTAGCGGTGTACTGTATTTCTGCCAATGACTTGGCGCATGGAAATGAAAGCAGCTCCACGGTTTTTACTCCCCAAGTTGTCCGCTGTATGTTTGCAACGCTTAAGCGACGGTTTAGGTTCAACCTGTGAGTTGACACAAACCTTGTTCGGCGACTGGTATCTGAAGGCGAAACCCAAATAGCCCAGTTTAATTTTTCCTCCCTCCCTTCGAGGTAGCATCGCAACAGGGACTGCAATACTGATCTGTGCTTGAGGAGACACGGGATAGCATCGGTCTTGCATCACACACACCCCTCCCAGTGCCTTATTTGTTGCTGGATGGTATCTGAATTTGGGTGCTTTCCATGAATCAAAAAGAACTGGCCGAGATTCGGCGGTGCACAAGCCTGCATCTCGCCTGAGCCCCATTCGCAGCCGCTAGTCCTAGAGAAGAGTCTTGTTATTCCATGGGACCGGCCTGACGTTAATCTAAGAGCAGGATAGGGCTCCATTCTGGAGCACGTCCAGTTCATGTCGTGTTGGACTCCGGGTTTAAGTTCAGACAACTAACTGATCAGTGTAGTATTTGAGTGGAGCAACTCCTGCCAGGTCGCTTTCTTGTGTAACTTTGAAGCAAGAGCAGGCCCCACACGGACAGTAGGAGGGCCCTCGGTCCCCTCGCCCCTCCACTTTGGCAGGACCAGACCCTTTTCATCTGCTTAAGGCTTGTGCTTGTTTAAATAGAATGCCTCCCCTGGAAGCCTCCAGGAGCAGCACTTCTCTGAAACAAAGGCAAGACTCCTAAGAAGTGGTTTTTATTTTTTATTTTTTAAATGTCCTTAATTTTAAGAGCAACACATTTTTAGTGGCTCCTGGTGTAAGATGGGGAGAGAGTGGCTCTTAGACCCACCGAGGTTGCCCTCCCTGGCTTTAAAAGATTATGCACTAAATCCTTATTCCCGCCTAGAATATACCTACTGAATCAGCCGGACTTGCAAAAATGTTGAATTATTAAATCTCGGGTTTGCTCTAGGTGGGGTTCTTGTGAAGGCTAACACATTTTATTTGGCATAAGCTTTTGTGGACTGGCTGGATAGCTCAGGACTCTAGTTCTCTGGCTGCAGAGGTTGGGAGTTTGATTCCAACACTTGGCCTCCTTAGAGAAGAGCCAGCCTGTGTGGTCTTGGGCAAGTGGCACAGTCGTCCCAGGGATACCCCCCCCAGAAGAAAGGAAGGGTCAACCTCTTCCGACTATTCTTTTCCTGGAAAATCCTGGAAAGGGTTGCCGTGAGTCAGAATTGGCACATGATGATGATGAGAAATCAAGTTTTGCCTTGGAATAGCCTGGAAAATCCTGGAAAGGGTTGCCGTGAGCCAGAATTGGCACATGATAATGATGAGAGATCAAGTTTTGCCTTGGAATAGTCTTCCTATCGTCTTAAACGGAAAATGAAAGCATGTTTTAATCTCAGCGGGCTCTTATTGTTCCGCTGGGCTGTGGGTTTGAGTGACGGCTGTTTTTTTTAACCACTGAGGTCATTTGTGGTTATGTTAAATTGCTGTTCATTTGGTTGCCGTTCTGCTCTAAGAGTCTAAGGTGGAACTATTGAATCGTCATCGTCATCATCATCATTTCTCATGTACTTCTTACCACAAATGTCCTTCAAGGAACTGTATATAGAGAAACCTGCCAAAAAATTACACTGTGTAAAAAAAACAACAACAACAACCCCGCCCTGCAGTTCGATTCTTTTCACTGCAAATTGTGGGCCTTCTGTCTTCTGTTTGCCAGTTCCGAGTGAGGGCAGGGAAAGAATTGTAGTACTTGTGAGAAGCGGGTAAGATGATTACAGTTTGAGATTCCAGTGTTGACCCATGAAAGACATTCCACGAGAACAGAAACTTCATCACCTCCTTCCTGAACTTGTTCCCAAGCTTTGCTTGAGATTACTAAGGACTAGCAACTTTGTTTTTCAACAGCATGTCCCATGTGCCAGTGATCACCAAGGCTTTCTGGAGCTTTAGCTGGTGGAAAGTGGGAACTTCTGGGGGCCTTTGGTTGTGTAGACATCCCCCACCCCCAAAAATTGGCTTTTGTTAAGCTCGCCCTTTATAACTCCTCTGGTGAATGGTTTCAATGTGAGGGCCCTTAGTTTATCAGCTAGAGGGGTGATTAAATTTTTTATGATCGAAGGAGTGACGGGACATCCAAGCAAAGTGTGGCTTCCTTTAAAGAGAAGCACATCAGCCTCTTCTATATTTTTTTTCAGTGACTTCCAAACTTCCTGTCTTTGCAGGCGCAAGGAATGCATTTCTACGGCTCTCTGTCTGCTGAGGAACATATACTGTACATTGTAAAGAGATTTGAGGTACTCCTAAGGCACACAGTCTTAGTGCTACCCTGCGGGAAATAATTATGCACCTTATTCTGGTGTTTAAAGGACTAGATCCTTGCTGGCTGCTCTCCAGACGGGCGTTCTGTCATGGCAACCATGTCTAAATTTGTCTGCCGGGGGAGATCCTCGCTGTGCAAAATTGCTTCTCGTGTGACTCTCCAACCACAAGGTGTGAATGTGTCAGCAAATTTTACCTCTCATGGTGAAAACAGCCTTTTGCTGCTGCTGTGAATACACTTGCACTGCATCCCTGATAGTGATAATGGGGACTCTTTGGCTTTCCAGAAGCGCCAGCCAGCATGGCCAGGGATCAGGGCTTTTGGGCGCTGCCGTCCGAAGCATGGAGGGCCAGAGGTGACCCACTGTCGGCAGCTTTCACCTTTCAGATGTTGCTGAACGGTCACCCCCGTCAGCCCTGCTAGCGATAACCAGTGATGAAGGGCTATACAGACTGCAGGCCAGCAAGATCTGGAGGGCTGCAGTCCCTTGGTTTTGGCCTTTAAAGCTGGAAATGGTTGCATATAGTATTCTGGTAACCCTGTTACTCTTTGGAAGCTTTAGTGTGAGGTTCTGATGATAAGAACCCTGCTGGATCAGAGTCAAGCATCTTTCATCCTGCATCCCATCCCCCTCAGTGGCCAGTCAGAGGCTTCTGGCACACCCCTCTGCGTCTCCCAGCAAACTCTGAACCTGAGGCTAGCACATAGCCATCAAGGCTGGTTGCCACATGGTAGACATTTCCAAGATTTTGCTGTTGGAAGCTGATTCTGGTAAGCTTTGCGTACTTCCGGCGAGCTTGCTTTCCTCTCCTCTCCCGGTTATGACACACTCGCAAGGGTGTCCGCTGTGCCGTTAGTTCTCACTGAGCTGGGAAAAGCCCATTGCTGGATTGGGCCCACCCTTGCAGGCTTGCGGGTGAGTATCGTCTGATGGAATGACGACCCTACGCCAGTTTCGGTTCAGGCTCAGCCACATATGCACAGACACTTGATCGAATGCGTGGCGGCTGGGGCAGTGTAGGCGCACACAAAATCTCCCTGCATCTAGAAAACTAAATGTCCGTGATCTTCGCTTATCCGGTTAGCGAAGAATGATTAGCGAAGAGTACTTTAGCAGAACCTCTTTCCTTGATATGCTTGTTTTCCATACCAGTATATGTTTGTGGAGGGCTAGTATTCCGTCATTGGGAACTCCATCTACAGGGATTCAGACCAGATGGACATTTGGCGGTTCTCACAACGCTGGGAAAGTTTATTGAGCTTCTCTGCATCTGAATCTGGGTTGCGGGAAGAACCCAGGTGCCTTCTGGGTCCAGGCAGACGCCTGCGGGAGAGGTACTTCGCACATGCAAGGCCAAGTTTAAAGTGAATAGTTTAAACACCTAAGTATGTAAAATAAGGCTACACTTCTAGAAAGGCACAAACTGATAGGGACTGGCTGGACAGCTCAGTGAGTTAGGTCTCTGGCTGCAGAACCAAAGGTTGGCAGTTCGATTCCCCCACGGTGCCTCCTTGGTAGGGGCTGGACTCGATGACCCAGAGGGTCCCTTCTGGCCCTGCAGTTCTAAGACAATAATGATGATAGTAAGGATGATGGAAACTGTTTTGGGTCACCAGTGGCTGCCCTAGGAAAGTTCTGTCATTTACTGGCTGTTTCAGGTCTGGTGAACTGAAGACTGTGGCTTCCTTTACTGAGTCAACGTATCTCATGTTAAGAGACTCCTCTTTCCCTGTTGCCTTTCGTGCTTCTCCGCATCATCACTTTTTCTCATAAGAAAATGATGTGCCCAAAGTACGATAGCCTCGGTTTAGGCATTTTAGCTTTTAGTGAGAATTCAGGGGTGAGTTAATTGAGAATCCATTATTATTATTATTATTGGCAGTCTGTGGTCTTTGTCAATCTATTGTCCGACTTCCCATGTTGAAATCTGTTCTGCCCCAAACCCTCCCCACATTTAGGTGGATACAAAATAGAAAGGCTTAAATTTCTCTTTCAGAAATGTGTTGCTTTGAGGCCAAGCTTGCTCTGCTAGAGGTGATTTTTGTCTTGATATGCCTCTCTCCTAGTAATATTTTTCTGGTTTGAATGAAGTGGTTGTCAGAATATGCTGCAAAGGGCAGTGGCGGGTTCAGGTCCTCCCCCCCCCCCGAAAAGGAAGATCTGAAAACAGAGGTTGGAAAAAAATCACATTTTTACTGCTTGCCCTGCTCTGAGGAAGGCCCGTTTCTACTCCTCCCCATTCCCTTTCAAGCCTCAAGCAATCAGAAGTCCAAAGCTCAAGTTTCGGCTTCAAATTATACAATCCACTTTTACAGCCTGACCGACGTAGGTCAACACATTCTTTTCCTGCCTTGCAAGGAACACAATGCTTGGCTGAGCTGCCTTTCCTGGTTGCACCCGCGTGCTCTAGCGTTCCCTAGCTGGGTGCCCTTCAGATGTCCTGGACTACAGCAACCATCGTCCCTGAACAACATAGC